ACTCTGTGCCAAAAAAACGCTTTCATGGTCTGTTTCTCATTTGACAAGAAATGTACATATGGATCGTTTTGAAGTTATGTTGTTGTTGTTCCTTACGAATAAGCAAACTCAACATTTATCCATCGATGAATAACATTTTGTGAAATTGCATCTTTTGAATTTTATTTTTTCGTGTGACAATAGTAGTTTTAAAACTGTAGTAATTTTAAATGAGGCGTATTCAATTTAAAATAAAATGTCGAGTCGAGGAAGACAAATTTGCAGTGAAAGCACTTGCATTAAGTTGCGAAAAGCTTCATTCATAACCATTCGCTTTGGGTTATTTTTTTCTTATAGAACGAATAAAATACCGCCGAGTTTTTTCAATTCGCCATTCAATTCACCAACAAAACCAACTTACTTTCTTTGTTTAAAAATATTAAAATAGCGATACAATCATTTTGTGTATATATACATTGAAATCTGTGAATAGCGAAGTGAAAAATACTTTTCTCGAATGGATAAAAAAGAATTATATGGTTGAATACATAGACAATGGCAGTTTGAAATGGATTCAAGTATGCAATTTTTTTAGCTCACATAATAATTCATTCATTGAAATATTTCCATTCAAGTTAGTTGCAATTCAAGCCCTGTTACAATAAATCAGCGAATCGACGTCCTTGAGAACTTCCTTCGATTGTCGCGTCTACGTTATCTGAAGATTTACAACAAAATAATCTTTGCAACGCCGGTGAACCAACTGAATATTTATATTATACCTGAATGTCAGTTGAATTGGGGTTATTTTACCACAATTTTAACAACAGCGTATGTGTATATAAGCTATCCAAGTAATGTTTAAATACAATTCAACGAAACGCGAATGCAACATATCGGGCAGATGTTGAAGTTCTTGTCATTTTTCCTCCTACTGACTATGATTGCAGCTGTATTTTCTGAAGGTTAGAATATTTTTTTATTATTTTTCAGTCTAGGTATTTGCTCGTTTTGTAGCCCGGGCCCATATTTTTTTTAACCAAACTCAATAACCGGGCCCGTATTCTACTGACTATCATTGCAGTTGTATTTTCTGAAGGTTAGAAAATTTTGTTTATTTTTGTTTCAGTCTATGCAAATGGAGCAAAAAAAAAATTATTCTCATTCTGTAAGATGATTATACTCCTTTGCTGCAAACAAGCCTAAAAATGCGCACAAGAGTCTTTCAGTTTTGACATTACATACCTACTTTTATTGCAATGTAAGACCATGTAAAGTGAAGGCCACGGAGTCTGAATCCAAAGTTTTCAATTTGCCAAACATTAACTCTTTAAGCACTGTGCATGCAACATTATATTTTCAATTTACAGATTACTCCGAGTACGACGACGATGATGGCATAGACGATGAATTTGGTTCATATTTGTTCGATAGCAGTACACCCTGCGGAAGATTCTGTGTGATCGTAAGAAACAGTACAAAGTCAGATGCTCATGCTTATGGAAAAAAGAGCTAAAAGTAATAAAATTTGACTCATTTCGGCTCCCGAAAACGATTTTATTAAATATCAATTCACAAACATGCCATGTAATTGACTGATACCATAAATGCGATTGTCATACATTTTTTATGAAAGATTAGTGTTGATAGGATACGAATAAGATCGGAAAAAGGTAAACCATTTTCCTTTAAAATCTTGACACAACAAATTTACCTGCACTTTTAATCCCAATTTCTGCCATTTCATTGTTTTTCATTACTAGTAATATTTAGTGACAATGACTACAAATTTGGAATTGTGGAAAAAAATTGTTTTTTTTACGGGAAACAGTTTAAACGATTTTTTGTGTTTAACATTTGTTAACATAGAACGTTATTTTCAATTTTCAGAACTGTGCGAGACATGCCAAAGGAATGTTTGTACTTTGGGAAGACTGAATAAAGAAACTTGACTTCTGTAAAAACGCCTTTTTTGATTCTCGCCACACTTTTGTTGTTTGTGATAATAAACTGATATTAATGAATAAATTGCAACATTGTATATTTGATCACTATATTTTTTTTACCATGGGTGGAGAATAAAAACCCGGTTATCGACAACAACAAACAACAACCCGTAAACATGAGGCCAATGCCGAAAGATATTGACACGAATGTTAAAACAGTGTTCCAGTGAATTGAAACTTGAAATGAAACCTTTCATAAAAAATATTCCTAAAAAGTAATAATCTTCTCGCTGTTTTATGTTCAAGTTACAAAATGTAAAATCTATTGTCAAGTAGTTACGAAAAAAGCGATTTTTTTCAAAAAACAACTGGTACAAAATGAATTGTCCGCCGATATAAAAAAGTTACTTCCTAATTAAATTTGTGTTGACTCCGTGACACATTCTAGTCATTAGCTGATGGCAAAAACTCGAGAAACATTTGCACGCATATTCAGGTGATAATTGCAAACGGTGGGAATTTTCAAATATCAGTTGGCAAGCAGGGACCCCACTTTTTGGTATTATGAACTTTTATTGGAAGAAACACTGGTACATTTGCCAGAAACCCCGGTATTTTTCTCACAAGTGGGGCAAGAACGGTATTTATAAAAACTGCAGGGTACCCTATCTAGATCTTTCGTGAGGACGTGTTTTGCGAGCTCTGTGCCTGTATCGGTCAGCGGCATTTTAGCTGAGAACAAGAAAGATGCAACTGTAATCGAAGAAATAAAACTCCGACTTGATAACGCCGGTGAGCACTGCATCAAACCAAGTCGTTAAGCCGTTGAGCATAAGATAAACTCAATTTTCTTCCGGAGCCTTCTAAAGAAACGCAACAAGACTAATCATGGATTTGCCGCAGGATATTTAACATCAACAGTAAAACTGCTGGTGGGTCAAATATAACATTATCACTCGAAAGCCATCAATTGATGCCCATGGCAATTTGTCCATCGCCTTGGACGGTGTACGAGGGAACGAAAGTTCACTTCTGTGCCCGCGGACCTAATATTAAGCAAAAAGTCGCATCGTTTCAGTTAGTCAGCAGACGTAGTTTTCGGCATTCCAGGTTCACTCAGAGAAAGGTCAATTCAGATATAAACTATTCAACTTTGTTTACGTTTTGCGTGTGCTTCATTGGGACTGGATTAGTTTGCAGTTTGGCAATACTAGTTAGTCTTGAGGTAGTTTAGGCAAGTAAACCATCGTGTTTCCTTAACATTCTTGTTGTTTACCTTAGACATGGCAGTGGCCCTTCTATGCCACTATTTCTGTACATGTGGGACCCGTAAGCAGATGGGTAATTTTACCCCTCCAAATCTTGTAAACTCAAATTTGTCCCACCGACTTTTTTACTAAACTAATGGAAAAGAATGAAAACTATGTACCGGCGTTCAGGGAACAATTCAATACGAGAATTACGATTCGGCCTGCCCGCAAACTTTGGATTCTTATTTAACCCGGTGCAAGGATAAAAAAAAAGGATCCATCGTACACAAATGTCTCAGAGAAAGCTGCTGCCTTTGATGGCAAATTTAGGGTGAGAATTCCTATTGTCTTTTTTTTCTCTCACATATACTGGTACAAACCACGTCTTCTTTTCCATTGCCCGACAGTGATCGGGCGTTGTCAACGCAGTTTGCCAAACATCGCTGGATCATCTGGAATGAAGCGGCTCGATTTGATGCTCGAGGGAATCTGGACACAGATCTGGTAGTAGTACTCGATGTGGTATGCCCATTCGACAACGTTGAGCATGGACGATGCCGCCCCTCGAAAGCACTCACGCAATAAAAAGTTCTGTTGCTCCATCTTGCCACTGGCAATATGATGGAGTTCCACGCGTTTCCTGATATTTCCCTCGGTAGTTATGTCCTACAAACCCAGATTGTTTTTCGTGCTCGAGGTGTTACCGAAGAAATCCCGTCACCGAGTTTGCCAGTCTTTCTCAACAATTTTAAATTTTTTGATTTGCATTTTTGGGGTTTAATCTGCTCGGTGGGTTAGCGGTGACTAGCGTTGACTTCGCTGGTCATTCATCTAAATTGTACGGTAACATCCGCCACGCAATGCGCTATTCGGCGATCAGTTAGCACCAACTCTATTTTTTCGACTTTCATTACTTCGAGAGACAGGCGTATGTTGCAGCTAAGTAACCAGCAGTTTAGTCTGAGAGAATTATTAATCGGCAAATTTTGTGACTTAGTTTGCAACAGAATCGCGTCACTTACGAGTTTGCGATGTTTTCATCTCTGTTAACTTTTGAGTGAGTGATACACATAAACAGTCCTATATACTTTGAAGGAGTATATATGACAACATATTGTTGTTTAAGTACACCTTCCCGGTGAGCACTAGTTGAAGAAATGTGATTTCCGATTAAATAACTACTTATCCCTAGCTTTTGTTGTTAGTTTGGTGGCTATTATATTTATCGAACATGTTTTTACGTCCTTCTCCATGAATGTTGTCTGTGAAGACTGGAGATGCACTAGTAATCCTCAAAATATATGTGGATAAGCTATTCACGAGTAAATACGAATAGGTCATTTACAATAAATTCTTTGTAAGAAGAAAATATTAAAAAAATAGGCTTTAGTAAAAAAGCACTCGACTTAACAAGCAAATTGTACTCGAACTATTTTTAGACTGTATTTTGAAGCCAACACGTCTCATTATATTGTGAAAAAGCATTCTTGAAAAGGAACTATAAATGTACTGGCTAAAGAAAAATAGATTACATTATTTTATACGAGCAGTGAATACAACACTTTTCAAAATATGCAAGAAACATATTTTGAATTCACGTACCTGTAGACCAACAAAATTTATAAGTGCGCCATTGCTCAGATTATATTTCATACCTAAAGACGTTAATAAATGCTTGGCTGCGTTATGTGCGTTATGGTTTTCATACAGACAATATATTAATGAAAGGTTTACCTACAAAATACTTTTACGTTTGAGATATTAGCAAAAGAATTTCTCGTATCAAAATCAACAACCAAGTTCATTTTTCAGTTTGTTCGCGAGGTTGTACAAAAACTATAAAGAAACAGAAGACAATAACTTCTATTTGATTATGTTATGTTCATTATGCTGCTTTCATTTTATCGTAGACAATCATTCTAAATATTTGTGACTGCGGTTGTATACCGCAGCTAACGGACTACTTACGAAATGGGCAAACAGTTAATTGGCAAAGATGGAAGCGCCGAAAAAAGAGTTATCACCTGGAAAAAACATTTCGACTACTTATTCAGCTTACTGGGACTCATGATTGGCCTTGGAAATGTATGGAGGTTCCCGTATCTGTGCTACAAAAATGGCGGAGGTGAGAATTGCACTGCAGAGTTGACTTTCTTATAATTATATTGGCCGGGCAATGTTGCCATCTTGTATTTAGTGAATTTGGGAAGTTGAGGCACTGGTTGGTCTAGCCTCCATCTCAGTGTATGTGGATGACACCTTTCCGCGATCGTTTGATATGAACATTGCCAACACAGATAAATATGATTTAGGTCGTAGTTTCTGCCCTGTTAACTTCCGGATTGCTATTTAAAGTAGAGTGGGTATGATTCTGACGTGAAAACAAATATTTTTTGACCAATATTGACTACAGTTATTATTCTAACGAACATATAATGATTCCAATCGGGTTATTGCATTGGTTCCAAGCCTTTTTCGTTAAATATATTCCTTTGCCTATTTTGGAATTCTTTATTCCTCCCTATGCATAAAAACTACTCTGTTTTTTCAATCTTTAATACTTATCTAGTGTCATGCGCAAGAATATTAGTAATACTAGAGCAAATACAAGGTCAAATTCCTTCTCAAGAACGACAAACTTCCTCACTGGGGAGAAGTTCTTCTCCGGTTTGCAAACATTGGGTTAAAGAGTTAATTTTTTAATCTTTTGACTCAGGACATATATATATATCAATGTGATCTGATAAGGAAATCCGCTTCCTTTTGCGCATAGGTTAATGTAATGACAACTTTTAGTAATACGTTCAGCAAAGGGCAAGAGAGATCGCGTAAATTTATACTTAGTATAACTTCTATTACAGGTATGCGTTCAATATTTAATGTCTAACCGTTATTTCATTATTTTATTTAGGTGCATTTTTGATCGCATACTGGGTGTTTATTATTGTGATTATTTTTCCTCTGATAATTCTGGAGGCTGCTTTAGGACAATTCACTGGTCAGAGCTCATTTAAATCTTGGCATATTATTCCACTGACAAAAGGTATGTATGTAAATATGTCAATATTAAAACATAAACTGAAAATCGCTTTTAGAACTTTGCTTATTAAGACAAAGTTTCACTATATACACGTATGTACGTGGGTTCAAATGTACGGTCACCTTTTTGACTCGCATTTCAATGTGATCAATAAATATACGCACTGCACGAAAACTTCTTTGAGCGCAACAGAATGTTTGAACGTAAACAAAGCCATATCAGCTTATGCAATGGAAATTTACAGATTAAATTCCTTCTATCGCATGCCAAGATAAGAAAGCCGCAGGAGACCATTCTTCAAATTGCAAGTGACACATATTAGACCGAAAATTTGGTTGAATTGGTAATATCAAACACCGTGGCTAAGAGCCGTGTTCAGACAGAAGAGTGAATTCATGAAATGCTAATGGATAACGCATTCCATCTAAAATCTAAATTCTAAAGTACACACTCGAAATTTTGAAAATTTATTTAAATAATGTTATGAATAATCACAGTTAAAATATATATGCCTTCGGGTTCACGTACCTCGCCATCATAGCTGATTTAGCATGATTCTTCTGCATATATTACGATGCCAAAAACAACATCATCAAACGATGCTGAACGAACTGAGTGGAAAATAACTGTGTTTTACCCCGTGCTCTTTAAACCGTAAGTTCACAGGCGGTTAAATAAAAATTAAAGCAAACAAACTCTTTTAACATCCCACCTAATGAGATTATGATCACCAAACCATAAACTTGCATTGCTTGCGGTTTTTGTCGGCAATGTTCCCTTTTTTTTCTTCATTTCGATAATATAAACGAGAGAACACTGTTCAATATGAGCATTAATATTCACTAAAAATGCAGTGCTGGTGGCCAAGGCGACTTACACTGAATCCGTTATCTGAATATTCAAAACATCCAAACCTCAGTTGCAAATCAAAATCCAGTCGCGTTGTTTTGAAGTAATTTTCATCAATCGGGAATGACAAAACTGCCCTTTCAAAGTCAACGCAATATATATAATAAGAGACATAAAACAATGGAGATTTGTGAGAAAATGTTTATTGATATGAATGAATTATATAATGACATAAAACTTGCAATCGCATGGTATGCCATAGGGCAGGCCTGCCCAACCTTTTTCGTCTCGCGGGCCACTTTCACGTGATAAAATTCGTTGCGGGCCGCAAGCGTTTGTACCAATCATTGATACCAGCAAGTCCTGATTTCGGTGTAGGTAATTTACATAATATGTAAAAAGCAAGTTCACATAAAATCAATCAATTTATTAATTGCTCTCTGGTTACTGAGTAGGGCTGGCAAATTATTCGAATATCAAGTCGAATATTAGAATAGCAGTTTACTGTTCGAATATCTGGTAACGCGGGGCGTGGACATGACACTTGCGTTTTTGACGACCACACGAGAACATACACATCACGTCGAAATTGATTGTTATATTTGCGTCATAGTGTTTTTATTCATTCATTTTTCAGTATAGCTATGATACTGACTGAATGTTTAAAAAAGCATCATGTGCGACAATGTCGTGGGAATATCAAGTTTAGGTGGGCCGTTTCGTAAAATTTGAAACACCTATACAAGTATTTAACGGAGTAACATTACAAAGATTTCTGCACGAATAGTCCATATATACTGATTTGTGACCAATATGCAGCAATGCCATTCAGTCAATTTCATCAGAATTATTGACGGATACGTATTGACGACATTTCCGAAATCTTATTTAACCCTAAAATTAAATGAAAACAAACAAACATAAAAGGACAACGAGTCCCTGGACCAGTACCAAAGATATTGTTGACCTTTAATTTTACGTTGTCGATAAATACCATCAAAGCAGATACATAAGAAAACAATCAAAATTAAACTAATTTGCAATTTTAGGCTACAACATCATTCCTATAAATGCACTCAGCATTCGTCCTCAATGATCGCACAATATCTTTCGAGTTCGTCGAACAGAACGCTCAGTTTTGTAAGAAATAAAAAGAAAATCAACGTTGATGTCCTCCAGGGTGCAAGACTTGACACATACGTAATAACAAGAACCGGCATTTGAATGTAGATAGATGGAATATTTGCACCAAAATCACGAAACATAATTTAGCCTATATATTTTATATATAACATAGTAAAAACATAAAAGTCTGCTTACAAACTTCATAGGGCGGGCCGCAAAAAATAGTCTGGCGGGCCGCATGCGGCCCGCGGGTTGGGCAGCCTTGCCATAGGGCATAGACTAGTAAATAATAAAAATAAATAAAAACTTGATTTGATAAACTGCGTCTGGTGTTGTTGTTTCGGGCTATAGAACTGGGACTTGCGTGGAATTTAACATGATTTTTAGGCAGAAATGATCGCTTCAAATTAGAGGCCTTTATTTGAGTTCCATGGGGGAAATCAGAACAGTTTAGTTGTACAAATTTGATCCAGAGTTTTTCTTGTTTCATTCTTAGCGGATTTATATAAGACCATCATACAGACCATCACTGCGAATTCTGCAGTAATCACCATCTATACATTGAATAGACAATGGAATATGATTACTACAGCATATATATATAATATTCTGGGATCTTTTGTACAAAGCCCTCAACAAAAGATAAAAACTGCCACCGCTTGAAATAAAAAAAAATTGTAATTATTAGTTAGGATGAGAGCTAGGAATGCAGATTGCGCTGAAAATTCTTATTTTCAAATCATTCCCGACCAAACCCTATAAAACGTGCAGTTTTGCCTTAGTGGCGGAGCCTTTGTACAAAATATCCATCTTCTGATTTAAATATCGTCTATATATGGTTCCATTACATTTGACCCCATGACAATTGCACCTGCATACTAACGCACCTATGGAATTTGTTTTGTTTTACGGATATTTGAACCCATACTAACCCTAACCCATGGGTTTTAGTACCCGCATATAGATTGAATCCGCGGATATACACATGGGTTCAAATTTACGTGGGTTCAAATGTACGGTCACCATCGTCTATATACCAACAATGTAACAAAAAGACTGTAAAAAGAAAGTAACAAAACTCTCATAAAGTTTATATGATTTGAGAAAAAAAATAGCCTAGTATGCGTTACTCCACTTGAAAATATTTTACAACAATAGGTCAACACGTAGATCAAGTATGTTTTAACCTCGGTTTGCTATGTTTACTGTCAATTTTGATAATGCAACGATAATATTTTAAAATATTGGTGTGTATATAAACCTACTGCGGCGTTTGCCAAATGCAACGCCCAATAAAATTAGCATACTGTTCAAAATAAAAACACAGAACGTTATAAATGCGTTTATCAACGAGCCATACTAATTATCGGTCGATTTCTGCATGGTTGACTTTTAAAAATTTGCAAACGATGACCTCATCATTTAGGCGGTAAACGCGGGAGGTCTCAATTTTAACTACTGGAAATTTGGAATTATTTGGTCCTTTAGTTTTTCCTCAACAGCAAACACAATAAGAATTTTAGAAAACAATTTGTTGAGCTACTTTGTGTTCGATGAAAATCCGTTTTCTGGAGCGATTTTTAACGCGGACATGGTATGTGGGAGCTTAGTCTGATTTTTGGGCATTCTACAAACACCGGGAGTCATTTTTGTTGAATTAATGATCTCGGTTTGTTGAGGCGATGAAGTTTAGAATGAATTTCATTACGTAGAGCTCACATTTCCAGTTACGAAATCTTTATTTATTTCAACGATTATTTCTAGGAATTGGATATGCTGTGGTGTTTCTTATGTTCTACTGCAATGTATATTATCCAATGCTTTTGGCATGGTCACTAAGATGGCTCGTCGCTAGTTTTTCTGCTTCTATGCCATGGACAACGTGTAATAATCAATGGAACTCTGTCGAATGTCTGCCATTGTCACAAATTGCAGCCGACTTTTCCAAGGTGAGTCAAATCTAACTGAACTACTTTTTACTTTTATAATTGTTGTTCACGTAACCGTTGTAAACAATCACAACGTGCCAACTCAAGTGAGTCAGTTTGGTATCATAGTTATCTGAGTCACTACTAATTGTAACTCGTATCCGGCAGAAATCCACGAGGCTGAAAGTTATTAGTACAAGGTACGGGAACCTAATCAATTACATGGGACCTACGTAGCATCAGTAAATCTAAGCATAGGTCTTAGCGAGTTGGCGATAGCATGCGACTCTTTCATACACCTTTTCGTTGGGGATTGATTTTGGTCATTCGTAAAGCAAACCTACGTACAAACCTATAAACGGTGTCATCTGGTCCGCAACAAGGATGATGTTACCTTATTTTTGAGCAAATTTGTTCTTACTGATTTTAAATTCTCAAGTCCACGTCATTCCGTAAGAGTTCAACAAGATTTCTGATTTTACATTGTGAGAACAGAGATGAAACTATTTTGCATCAATCTTTAATCTTACATTTAAAAAGAATTCGACTGATCATCTTTCATCCAACACAAGCTCTGGAATTTTGTACCATAACTTCACATACGTTTCGTCAGTTGAAGAATTTTGGAAGTAAGTCGATTTTAAATTACTATTTGAATGGATATTAGCAGTTACTCTGATATTATTTAAATTTTCAAATGGTTGATTTACTAACAATATTCCTATAGCAAGTGAATTTTATTACATGTGATGTGTAGCGTACCGGCAGTCTATGAAATAATTATCCAAGTTCAGAATATCTTCCAATATGGTCTGAAGTCAAGTTTCCTTAATATTCACTTCAATTTATACTATTTTATTTATTAATTAACAATCTCAACACAACCAAATACTCCGGACAAAACGACAAGCATACAACAAAGCGACCAGGCAGCACAATGCAAGAAAACAGAATATATATACACAATAAAACACTTTGAACAGTACTGATGATAGCTAATTCCCTGACAACAATCAAAAATACAACGCCAAATACCTGCAATGGCACTGTACTGAAACAATAATATCAGTCTACTGTCTAGCATAAAACATCCAACAAATCCCCATCCCGCAGTTACAAAACCAAAAACAAACATCCCTGATAACCCACCGGAGGCACTCCCACAGACACTCATGACCAGAATCCAACCGAAAACCAACCACACCGTACCGGTACCAACCACAGCACACGACAACAGGATACCAAAGGACAGATCGATAGTGTCACAACGCCATCAGTGTTAAAAATACTAAATATAGCAACAACATCACATGACATCATTTAACAGATAAAACAAGGGTCGTCACACTTGAAAAATTTTACAAGTTCAACTTAAATTTTGTTCTGAATTTACCTAGAAACCATATTCTTGAAACAACGTCTGACATCAATGAACTCGGAGGAATTAAACCTGAATTACTTATTTGCTTCACTGCCATTTGGATTGGGACATATTTTGCCATTTGGAAAGGGATAGAATGGACAAGCAAGGTAGTTTAATATAGTCTATTAAGAGTTGAGTATTATAAATCGGTTCCGGTTTCGAGCTTGTAGTCAGGACATGAAATGTTTTATAAATCGTTGTAGGAATATCCGTAACTCAGTTCATGCAATCATATATTCAAATTAAATTTATAATGTTATGAACATGTTAGCTTCATTTAATATTGGCGACTCATGATTGAAAAATATGAAAAATCCGTTTTATTCTGGTCGTTTAATTTAAAACATTATTCAAATAGATTTAGTACATTGAGAGTGGGTGGGGTTCAAAATAGGTATTTCAGCACCTACTCACCCCTTCTAAAACATAGACGAGTGCTTTTCAGTATATGACAATCAAGAAGAATTTGCAACAAAGATGAAGTAGAGAAGCGCCATTAGCCGGAAGGATTTTGTTTATTTAATCAATATGCTGAAACTTCCCATTCTCAATCTTGCTATTTTGAATTTCTTATTTTCTAATTGAAACCTGAAATCTGGACAAAATGTGATTCTTTCTCATATAAGCATATACTTCGATAAAAGCAACTTCTTTGTTTTTCTTCAATTTTTATGTCGTTATTGTTTTCACAAAAACAATATTTTACTTAACTATATTACTTAAGAACAATGACTATATTTATACAAACCCTGTTTCTATTTATCTTGGTTCATTTTCCCTCTAATATAAAATATTTATCATCATTTTTTAAATAAAATTAATTTTATTTCTCAGATTGTTTATGTCACAGCCACCCTACCCCTGGTTATGATTATCTATAGTATGTATTCGTGGTTGTAACTTTGGAAGGAGCGCTGGACGGAATAAAAGTTTATCTCAGCCAGATATCACCAGCTTGACAAAGATGGAGGTAGAATGCTCATTTGAGAACTTTTGAGAATGCAAATAATCAAAATTATTATTTTTTGTAACTCGACATCAGTGAACTACAATAGTGTAGCTTCGGTCAGTCGAATCACCCTGATCTCTATTTAAATACATTGAAAAGTATACAAGATAGGCTCCTTGGGAATACTGTCGGTATGAATTTTCGATAGGTCCAGTTGTAGTGTTGCATCACATATAAAAATATTACAACTTCATGCGTCGAGGTGGTTGGTTGTCTTTTTAGAACTGATTGTTTTTTTTCTACTGAAGACTTGAATATCAAATTCTTTATTCAGCTCATTCACATTTATCAAACTTGTTTCAGCTCTGGTCGGATGCAGCTTCCCAAGTTCTATATTCTCTCGGAACGTGTACTGGAGGACTTACAGCTCTCAGCGCTTACAATAAATATAATCATAACTTTTTCAGGTTAAAGTATAACGTAATACAATGACGTTTATGGACTGAACTCTAATTTTAGAATTATGGTGTAAGGTTGTTATAAGATCTAAAATTTAAATTACATTGTTGAGTATATTAAAAATAATTTTGTTACATTCATTTATTATCTCATAAAGTTAACTCATGAACTCATTTTTACAGAGACTCCATAATATTGACAGCAGCAAATGCGGGAGCAAGTTTTATATCAGGATTTGCCATTTTCTCAGTACTAGGATTTTTGGCTCACACGAAGGTCAGTACAACTTTTTGATATTAGTAATGAACTTTTTTCTGCGTTTTCAGATGGAATTATTAACACGAGTTGGCTAATTGCTATTTCTATATAAATGCTCCATGATTTGGACCTTTTGCAAAGAAGTTGGGTTCTTAGAATGCCAGGTGACGCGCAGTGTTAAAGTTGCATTTGGGAGGTTATGTATTAGATTTAAGTAAATCGTGTCATGATAATGGTGAAATAAATTAGTAAATGTGATCGTTAGGTTGTTCTTATCATGTATTATTATGTCTCGTTTCCCAAACTTTTTCGGCCACGGAACCCTTACACTTTTTATCTCGCCTCGCGGTGAAATTGAAAAAAAGAAAAACGGTGTAATGTAGCGGTTCCCAATGGGTTCGTCGTGGCGAGTTGCCAAATGCGCCGCAAAAACTAACAGAATTATGTTGAACATACCTAAAATATATTTGAATATTTTACATATATATTTCATTTATTAAAAATGTTTTATTGTTTCTCAATTTGAATGCTGTGTATATGAATCAACAAATTCATTTTACCTTTCTATATCGTTGACTTTCCATTACGTAGGTTTGCCTCTATAATGTTACGTCTAATGAAGATAGAAGTACTTTCTGCAACTTTCGCGAGCTGCAGTTATTTATCTGCTGAATCGAGTTTAGCGAACATGAGTAATTTTTTCAGCATTTCAAAGTAAAATCAGAAAGAGATGACGAAAGAAGAGTTGACCATTTGCCTTTATTCTTAAGACCTACCTGTTTGCCTATTGCTGCAAACTTGATAATGAACTTAACAGTCAAAAAGCTAGGCCGACGGTTAACGAATATGCCTCTACCCTACCTTAGTTAGTCCGCTTTAGGCCAACGGTGACACGATATTGAACGGTCAGTTGGGCGACAACTTCACGATCCCTAGATCGCCATGGCGACCCATTTAGACATATTGTTGATTTATTTTCCACGGAACACTCGGAAGACATCGCGGAACACTAGTGTTCCGCGGAACACAGTTTGGGAAACGCTGCTGTAGAGCAATATAGGTTTGTTATAAAACGTGAAGTTAGCGAGTTAGATTCAAGAGAGAATCGATTTCTATTATTTCAAATTTGAAGACAAAGTTAGATTGACTAAAAAATTATTTGTCACTCCATTGAATGAGGTTTGTTGCATATTTACCTAGATTATACTTTGAGATCATTTTTACAAATCAAATTTTCACTATTAGGTCATTCAACGTTAATGCACAAGCATCTTCATCTTAACATTACATCAAAAAGAACTTGAATCCATATTTATGAATAATATGAAATAAACACTTTAATGCTGGACTATTGTTTTGATATTTTGAGCAGAACACGACCGTTGCTGAAGTTGCCGAATCTGGACCAGGACTAGTATTTGTTGCATATCCCACAGCGCTCTCCTTGCTTCCACTGCCTCAGTTTTGGATTGTATTATTTTTTCTCACATTGATATTTTTGGGATACGATAGTTTGGTTAGTGTCTATTTGTAATTTACTGCTTTACGATGTATAGTAGTATTGTTTTGATACAACATGTTGCATTTTTCATCTAGCATTGATTGAATTTATAATGCTATAATGCTGAAGTAGCCTCACACTCTTATAAGTAATAGAGAGTTATTACTGAATAAAGTTACGGACGATCTCTGAAGATCTCTCTGGTGATAAATAAGTATAAAGAAATTCTACAAAGGATTATTCTATCAAACACTGAACTATTTTGTTTCATTTAATGATGTTTGTTGATTAAATGCGTCAGATTCAAACGCTCTTCGCTAGGATTGAATACCTGTCGATAATGGGAAACGAATTAGACCTATAGATTGTTCTGTGAAATTACTGTAGGAAAATCTCTTTTCTCCCCGTCAGTTATGGATAAATTTAATTTCAATTTCCTAAATAAAAGAATACGCTATAAGGCTATTAGTTTGATTTGTGTTACTCACGATTTTTCACCCAAATTTTTTTTTATTATTCTGATTAATGGGAACACATTTACTTGTCTCATGTTTTACTTTAAAGTGTTTTTATTACTTTATAGTTCGTCTTTCAAGAAACATTCATGTCATGTGTGAAAGACATTTTTCCACAATTGTTCCGAAAGAAATATTCAAATGAGATGATGATCGCAATCGTAGCCGTAATAATGTACCTTGTCGGACTTCCCATGACTACACGGGTGATGATCTAATTTCATATCAATGTTATAGAAAATTGCGTTTATCAAGCTATTTAAAATATTTCTGATATTTTGTGATTATATTATAGAACAAACTTAACAAATATTGTTTAATTAAATTGACAATTATATTTCGTTGTATTCTATAGTCATATTCATTTGTGAAATATTATTTTATGCATTCAGGGTGGAAAATACGTATTGAACATTTTCAATTCATACTCGGCCAGTGGATGGTGCTTGTATTTCATGGCGTTCATTGAGATGATCTCTATTGGTTGGGCTTATATGGAGGAGACAAAATGCTTGATAATATAAAACGTATGATCGGATTTAATGTACCCCGATTGTGGATGAAAATTACATGGAAGTACATCGGACCATGTGCAAGCTTGGTAAGATTACATCCACCTGATAAGGAAGAAAAAATGCAATTGCATTTCGCACGATGAATGTCTTCTTATAGCTCTTATTAACTTTCCTATTTATTTGAGTTCTTGTGTTTTCCTATTTTATATATAAATATTAATATATACACCAAGTATCCTGGCCAATTCTACCAATATTAAATCCATATATATTTAGATTTGAGTTGGTTAAAATAAGAAATCGAGTGAATAATTTAAATTTTTTTAGTGACAGCTTGTTAATTATATTATTGAGTACATTGGGAATTTAAAATCGCTTGTCAGATAGTAAAAATTCGAAAACTCTATTAAAATAAGCAACATAAATCTTGAATGGTAAAGTTTCAAAGTAAAAGTACGAAAAAACATGGTTGAACTTTCCATGGACTTCATATGCTTTATCCGATATGTTTCTCACAGTGGCCCAGGTGGCTTGATGTTAATCAATGTTCAGTTAAATTAGGCTAAGTAATTTCTCTTCAGGTATTGATGATCAATTCATTAGCATTATACGAACCTCTTAAATACGACCAGAACTACGTGTATCCCGTTTGGGCGAACGCATTGGGATGGATGACTGCACTCAATTCCATATTGTGCGTTCCAATCTTGGCAATTTTCGTGCTGTGGAAAGCAAAAGGAAATACATTTCTGGAGGTAAGCTTGTCGTTTGTTATTTGGACACCCGGGGGTCGTAATAACTTTCATTCGGTGAGGAAGTGCAAACCTAATTCATTTCACTAAACGTTATAATGAAGTGTGAATCTGGGGTTTTTGATTTGCATTGCAACAGGAGATGGAGTCGTATTGTCGAATGTCCCGGATTTGAATTTAAGCGGATCAGAGGAAAACTTATTGAAAGTCTAGAGTCAAAAGTTTTGTGATATCAGACTTAAGAGTTTATTGTTGAAATTTTAAGGGTTGACACGATATTTTTTTCGCAAGTCAAATTCTTGAATGCCTGAAACTTTTTTGCTTACCCACCTCCTTCGTTGTCAGTACGTTTAATAGATTTTCATCTTAATCTATGCTTTTAAATACCCAGTATCTTGAAGTATTTGGAAATTTCTTCGTTTATAACCTACTGCTTAACCAACCTTTTATTTGTACTAATAGAAACTTCGTTCGGCTATTGTACCGAAACAGTTTTATAACAGAAGAGAGATTTCTATCAACGAAGAACTTGAACTGAAAGGATCCCTCAGTTTATCTTGTCAGAACGACGATCAAGCTTGATTAGTGTTTATTGGCTTATTCATCCACTTAACAGAATTCAATATTATTTTTCTTTTGGATTTTAAGCGTGGAGTGATATTGTGTATCAAGTATGTCACGTAGCATCCACTTGCCACGCACTTGAACGACCCATAGTTCTACGTTATGGTAGATATGAATTCTGGGACACAAATGGTTAATAGGTAAGCATATGCAATGGCGTTCATGCCAAGTTCTGGACTGAGAAGTAGGTTATGATACTCATATAAATTTAGATTTATACAATTGGAACAAGTGTGAGACGAGTGGGGCACGGCATTATTGAGACACCTGCAAATATGAAATAAATGAAATACCACTTTAAGAGTTCCAGGATTGATTACCGAGACCAAGTTATTTTGAATTAACATTTCTTAGACTCACATTGCTTTGTAATTACATGCTCCCTATAATGGCTCATTTACACCTAATGGCTTTCTCTGTTTTCCCCCGTCGAGCATTTCACGTTACCTATCAAATAATTTTCAGCATTTATATACGTTTCAATTATAACTAGAATATTCTATATATTTATTTGTGTTAAAATTTGAGTGTATATTTCATTATCTATATCTGTATTCGGAACAGTCCAATTCGATTATTATATTACAATATATATACTAGTTGACAATTAACCCCACATAATCGTGTGCTTATTTATTTGACTCCGCTAAACTAAGATTTCTTCCAGGAGTATTGAACACCAATAAACATTATTTATGCTATTTTATTTTCCCGGAAAGCAGATTATCGTGTTGTTATCAACACTACATTGATCGCAAATAGATATTCTGATTGCTTGAAATATATTCTCATAAAACCACAAACAAGAACTCAAACAGCGTAGTGCAGATCCCAACTGTGTAAGTCATCTTGCCATCTCTCTGATGTTAATTATGGCATATCTAAATGTAAGCCTGTCATTCTACACGCAGCTCCACACAAAAGTGTGAGGTTATCATGAACGTCATCGTTTTCAATTTAACAGAACTTTCAAAATTCATTAATCGAGAAAGCAGCGTGTTGGAGGTTTTAGATTTAACAATCGAAGTAATGAAAAGAACAAGTAATAGAAAATGGAAACAATGAAAGCAGCCGTAAACAAATGCATAAAAATTACCACTATTAGAAAACATTTAAGTCCTACTCCCCAGCAAATTAATCCAGTAATAATAATAAATTTAAAAAGTATAATTTTCTAACTAAATTTATGAACAAAAATAATTCGAAATGACCGCGATCAGTTTATCACATTATAGAAAATGAAATATTGAATCGACATACACCATATATATATATATATATATGTGTATGTAGGCCTAGAGTTAACAGCTTTTCGGCTTCACGGGTTCTTCAATTCATTGATCCGGATTTTTCGTTACTTTCCTGATCTTTTCTGCCTAGTAAAATGTCACAATGCGATGTCGTTGTGTAAATGCAAAATATGAAATAATATGAAGACACAATTTAAAGTTCTACAGGATATGTATATACAATAACCGGAATTTAACAAAATTTAATATATATGTGTGTGTATATATGTTACCATTAATTGAAGCTTTTTTTATCGATTATCGGCCTGCCTTTTAGACTGTTGGACTGTTACATCGATGAGCTGCACGACACGAGATCGCATGTTTTAAATCGAAGTCAAAGCTACGTTATATCGTGGTATGTTATAGCTTGTCAATCAATGTAATTTTACAGAATGAATCCTCGATCGATTTTAAAAGGTTTTCACAAAATTCAAAACAGGGTTTGAACTAAATAATTGAAGGCTTGCAAAAGAAAAGTTTAGCCATATTTTGGTTTGGAACTACTTTTGGGAGAGTAATAACTATGAATTATACTTGAGTATAAGTCCTGTTCCAGCCAGTTTTAAATTTGTAAATCTTAGCAAAGGTATCCTAATTGAAGGGGTATGATCTTCTTATTCACATCCTTCAATGGAAAATGAACATGGTCATAGCTTTTGTCGGTACTCTAAATTCGACACCTCCTTCGATCAAATTTAAATTGGATGGATTCAGATCTAATATATACTAAATTTTCCAAATTGTGTATCCTTGTGAATAGTCTTCTATTTATCATATTATAATTACCTTTGTCTTATCCTCGAAAGACATTTCAAGTCCATTGTATTTTAATTTTTGACAGGAAAAGTACAATTTACAGGATATGATGAAACTGAATATTACGGCTACCAATAATATCCCAAAGAATGGAAGAGAATCGATTTCAAAACTGTCTTCGATGCTTTCACCCAGACATTCTTTAATGGGTCGACCGTCCTTTATAACAATTTTACAATCGAGTGAATCCATATATGCTCTTATCGTGTGGCGGATAGGAATAACCTCATGCATCCAAAATATGCTCAGTAGTATCTACCTGGTCTGTATATTTATCACAAATCACAAGATTAGAAGTAGCCTACGGCATTCTAAAACATTGTAAAATCGTCTAAGACATTAAATGCCAGTCTATTTTTATTCTATTTTATCATCACAAGATTAGAAGTACGGCATTCTAAAACATTGTAAATTCGTCTAAGACATTAAATGCCAGTCTATTTTTATTTTATTTTATTATATAGTTCTCCTTCTATCTTTTTGATCTAATACCCAATTTTTCTACTTGAAACGAATCTTTCTATATATTTGGTAAACACTCGCCAGGGCATATGCTCGGTGACTTCTGATTTAACTACTGTCTTTAATTATACAACATGGATAACATTACTATTACTACTGAATAAAATAAAATTATTACAACCATCATGTACTGATGGGAATGACTTGAATTATTACTAAAAATGCTAGGAAACGATAGTAAGCTTTTGCATTACTATACGTTTTATAAAGAACGTTATTATGCAATGCTGAACCTCTGCTCGACATGACCGAAACAATCAATCAATAGCTGTGCAACAGTTTTATTTCTTACTAAGCCGTCATATTCGGATCATGGTCAAAAAGATTGCATGTTGTGAAGGTTAAATGAAAAAAAAACGTGAATGATAGTTTTCTTTCATATCCGATGCATGATTTTGATTTGGAACCCTTTCTCTTGATGTTCTAAACATTTTTCAACACAAAACACATTTTTTAACAAAATATTTAGCTATCATGTAAATATATGCTTAAATCGTGGGCTAAAGCAAAGCATTGTTGCGTATATAGCATTTTGGAAATACGATTCATGGTTAGGTCTTTGAGTATCGCTGGATAATTCCCGCTAATATCACGTCAAATAAATACTGCCGAATAACAGTCTTACAGTTAGACGTAGTTCAAAATTGGGATTTCACTTTATTGATATTCCACAAACTTATCAAGGTCCAAAATGCTGCATATACAACCAAACTGATCGGCACATATACAACCAATGCTCATATATAATATAGGCAAATTCACATACAAATAACAGCTATCCATGCGATGTACCATACGCAGCCTAATCCGATACTTAATATTGTTTTGGTATAGCTGTCCGTTCCATATCAGACACATCTTATTTTTGTAGTGTGAAATTTTTACAACACTTTAGCATATCGTTAAACTGCGGTTGCAATGAACCCTTTTCCCTCGAAGCACGCACTTCCTTGTTTACTTCGTGAAATCTGGCCAATCGCAAGATGCATGGTGACGTTAAAGCGCTACGCTCAGACAGCTTTTTCTCACCTCCAGACAGATTTCAAGCGTGGTCCGTAAACATTACCCCCTGCGCTCGTTTTCGAAGTTTTTGAACTCTATTCGTTAGTTTGTACTGTCGTGTTCGAAACTTAAATACCAAATCAGATAATCAATGATCACTCTGTCATCCTAGGACTTTTAATTTAACTGCAGTAATAAAAAATTAGTGTAGATATAGCTGTGATAGACTAGGCTAAAATTCTTTACCGGTACTTTTAAAAAGCATATTGTTGTATGCGATACCCCATTTTACCGGCGCCAACTCGCAAAAGCACTCTTCAAATAGCCCCGAAAATTTTGCAATGGTAAAGTATAGGAGGAATTATTCGGGGTCAAAGGTCGGGGGAGGTCCATACTTTCTTTTACAATCAATTTTCGAAACGGATATTCATTATAATTTATACTAAAGTAAATAATCACAAGTGTAAAGTAGATCCAATAAATCACTATGATGAAAGCACCACCTAGTGGGTAACATACATAATGTTTTAGTCGTGTGTGAACCTCGAAATCCAATAGTCAACTTATGATGTCATAATAGTAAACAACAGTTGACCACTCATATATAAATATATGTTAGTAACAACAATGACACCACCTAGTGGGTAACATACATAATGTTCTAGTCGTGTGTGATCCTCGAACACGTGTAGCAATAGTCAACTTATGATGTCATAATAATAAA